ACTCACTGTCTCAACGTTACAGATTTAAATCTTTATTTTCTGAGAATGTAGCACGACACCGTATAAACGTTGAGTGAGCTGGCAAACAGCCCAATGGCTACACCCTTACATGGCTTGTTGTTGAGTAAGCCAGAATGGCCTGCTTTGCAAATCACACTAAGCCACAATAACAGAGTTGGAAGGGACCTTGGAGGTCTTCTAGTCCAACCCCTGCTGAAGCAATCGACCCTATACTATTTCAGACAAATGGTTGTCCAATCTCTTTTTAAAAAACTTTCAGAGCATTCACAACTTCTGGAGGCAAGTTGTTGCGCTGATTACTTGTTCTGTCAGGAAATTTCTTCTTAGTTCTAGGTTGCTTCTCTCCTTGATTAGTTTCCACCCATTGCTTCTTGTCCTGCCCCCAGGTGCTTTGGAGAATAGCTTGACTCCCTCTTCTTTGTGGTGACCCCTTAGATATTGGGAAATTGTGATCATGTCACCCCTAGTCCTTCTTTTCATCAGACTAGACTTATTATGGCTTAGTGTGATATGTAAACCCATCTTCACACCCATTTCAGAAGGCAACTGAGGAAATCTAGAACTTTAGCCTTCGCTTTCGTTGCTCAAAATGTTTGTCTTGTTTCAGTAAATTCAATCCAACGATTCTTTTAATAGTGATCCATCAGCTGAGTGTGGTTGGAGAGAGAAGAAGCAATGGCTTACATACAGTAAGATTTCTATTAAGTCCTCTGGCATGACAGTAATATTCTCCTTATCCTGGATGCTCCAGGTTAGGGGTCTCCAATCTTGGCAACTTTAAGACTTGTGAACTTCCACTCCCAGAATTCTGGGAGTGGAAGTTCCCAAGTCTTAAATTCCAAAGCTGGCTGAGGAATTCTGGGAGTGGAAGTTCACAAGTCTTAAAGTTGCCAAGATTGGAGACCCCTGCTCCAAGTAGTCCTTAAACCTGCTGCAGAGCATCCCCAAATTCCTGGACCATATTTCTGGGGTTGGTGGAAGGAAGCTCTAATAGAGAATGTCCACAATGCTAATCTGATACAACTTTCTTTCTTTACCTTAAATTGAAGACTGATCCTGAATGCTTAAGCCTTAAGATGGTCTACTTGCTTCCTACAGGAAGCACAGAAAACACCTCTTGCTTCTTCTTTGTCCTGTCATGAAGACAGAAAACTCAGAGATGCAGACTTTCTCTACATCTTAATAAATTTCACTTGCCCTTTTGGACCTTAAACATATGTCTCTAGAGATTCTTAAGGTGTTGTTCTTGCTAAACATTGGGGGACTCCAAACTTGGCATTTTTTTAAAGACTTGTGGACTTCAACTCCAGAATTCTGGCTGGAGGAAGTCCACAAGTCTTAAAGTTGGAGACTTGTGCTAAACAAAAACCCCAGTGAATGAACCAATGTTAACCTTAGTCTTTCTCCTACACAGTCCATCAAGGGGAAGGCTGTTTTTTATATACAACATGCTCCTTGGACTTTAACATGCCAGTTCTGAGTTAGGAGGAATGAAAGTTCTGCAAATCAGTCAATCAATCGATCGATCAATGTTTCCAAAACTTTGCTTTTAAAAAAAAATCTCATAGGGTCTACTGATGTAGGGGAAATAAGTCCTGCCTTTAACATCTCTTATGCAATTGTGGAACATACATTTGCTCACATGTGTGAAAGAATTTTACGTGTGTGGTTTTTGAACACATGATGAACTCTGATCCAGCTCCTATTACATGCCCAAATAGGTGAAAACATGGTGTAATGAAAGCACTTGAAAATAAACAACTGTATGACTAACTGATATAACAGAATAAATGCTTTGATCTGTCATCATCCATTACATTTCCTTCAAAATTAATGCAAAGATATACTCAAAATAATCTTAATTTTCTTTTAGCTGTTTTTACAGCGGGGAGAGATTATTCTCTCTGGCACTGCAATTTAGTTTGTCTTCTTGCATTTTTGTTTTGCATGTTTGTTTGGGTTTGTTTGTTTTTTTCATTTTTATTGATTGGGATCCAACATTTTCAATCAGAATAGAGCTGGAAGGGACCTTGGAGGTCTTCTAGTTCAACCCTGCTCAAGCAGGAGACCTTATACCATTTCAGTCAAGTGACTGTCCAGTCTCTTCTTAAAAACCTCCAGTGATGAAGCAGCCACAACTTCTGGAGGCAACTTCTGTTCCACTGGTTAATTGTCCTCACTGTTAGGAAGTTTCTCCTTAATACCAGGTTGCTTCTCTCCTTGATGAATTTCCATCCATTGTTTCTTGTCCTGCCTTTGGGTGCTTTGGAGAATAGCTTGACTCCCTCTTCTTTGTGGCAGCCTCTCAAATACCGGAACACTGCTATCATGTCACCCCTGGTCCTTCTTTTCTCTAGATTGCAATACCCAATTCCTGCAACTGTTCCTCATATGTTTTATTCTCCAGGCCTTTAATCATCTTAGTGTGGTGACTAAAACTGGATGCAGTATTTCAGGTGGGGTCTTATTAAGGTTTTATAAAGCAGTAATAATACTTCACGGGATTTTGATTCTATGCCTCTGTTTATTCAACCAAGGATTGTATTAGCTTTTTTGGCTGCTTCCACACACTCCTGCCTCATATTTCATCGATCGTCCACTATGACTCCAAGGTCCCCCCTCACAGCTACTGTTTTTGAGCCAGGTTTCGCCTAATCTGTACTTTTCCTGCCTAAGTGGCAAGAGAAAACCTTGCTTTTCTCCACATTAAATTTCATTTTGTTCAAGTCTGTCAAGATCTTTTTTTGGGGATCTTTTTCTGGGTGAGAAGACCCTTCTGAAAATTCCCTTTGTAAATTCCCCTGCTAACCTGGTTGGGCATTGGAATTGATCAACTCTAATTGGGCCTACTTGGAAATATTGTGCAGATCTATCCCAGCAAATCTAGGCTTTTCCAAAGTGAATCAGAACTGAATGTTAACTTGGCTTTCTGAGCAGCTCTAAGATTTAAAATAACATAGAGACCATGATGAAGTGCTTGCAAAAACAGATACATTTTGCGTCACATTCGCAAAATGTTGTGATGGGAACTGTAGAGAAGGATATGATTTTGGGATTGATGGTTTAAAACCTTCTTGAGGGCTCAATTAAACAGTGAGGCTGCCTGAGGTCAGTTGCTATGTTTTTTTTCCCTTAATGTTTTTTCTGCAGCTGTAATTATATACCATAACCATCAACCTAGAATACATAATAAATCAAATAACGATATCCCTCCCCCAAGTGTTTATTTGCTTCTAAGCTGAGATGCCAGTGGCCAAGTGCTACAGTTTATGGAAGTACACGACAGAAATAAATCTTAGGTAAAACTTCCTTTATCTATTCAATCTTTATAGGCTTCTGTTTTTCTAAGACTAAATGTCTAACCTAAAATGACTTTGATATTTGATAGCCAAATAATATTTGCATTTCATTGCCTAGTGGTGAAGATGCTCACCTCCCATTCAGAAAGTTGAGAGTTCAGTCCTAGGTAGTGGCAGATGTTTCTCTCCTAGAGCACAAAGAGAAAATATCTGCTGCAAACTCTGCATAGGTGTCAGGAAGGGCATTCGGCCAGTAAACGCTCAGCTCTATCCAGTCGCCCTACCCCGAATTAAGGGATTACAGGGTCGTAAAGGGAGGGGGGGTATTATAAATTTAGACTTGAGGTAACTTTAGAAAAGGGAACAAATATTTTTAGCAGCTGGTATAAATTACCTCAAAAGGTAATTTTTAATTACCCAAGCCAAACCCAAAAAGGGAGAAAAAAACATTTTAAACTTCTTTAATTAAGTAATATATGATTTATCAGTTCATGGTTTTGTTTAAATATGAGGGGGAAATGACTTTTTCAAATATACATGAAATTGGCCTGATATTATTATGCTTTTTATTTCTCTTATTCTACGTCTCTGCTATAACAACCAGTTTAGGTGAGGCCGTTGTCCAACAGGGCATTTTTCAGAAGATGCCATTAAAAATGTTCTGCTATGCATTTCTGTTGCAGTTGCCAAGAATTAAACAAATGGCCATTGCTGTCAACACTTTTGTCTGTTTACCACTGTTTAATTTTTTTTTTTTTCATTCTCTGTCAAAGATTTCAATAGACAGTCACCGGACCGTCCCAAGAGAAGGAAGTTGGAAATAAAGAATAAGAAACTTGGTGACCTCAGTTTCTAGGTTTTTAATAAGTTTTCTCCAACTGTGTCTTCTTCCGTTGTATCTCAACAAAGAGCTGTGTGCCTTTGCCAAATTCTGTTAGGACGCTATGACTAAACGGAACCTTCTGGCTTAATGTGTGTTTGATTAGTGGGCATTCTGAAGTTTGAAATTTTTATTCCCTTCTAGGCAGTGGTGAAATGTAAAATTTGTTGCTACTGGTTCTGTGGGCGTGGCTTGGTGGGCATGGCTTGGTGGGGGGTGTCATGTGACTGGGTGGGCGTGGCCAACTTTTTTTCCTACTTTTTAAAGCATTTTTTACTACCTATTCTCTGGAACCGGTAGTAAAAAAATGCTTTAAAAAAGTAAAAAATAAAAGAGGTTCGACGATCACAGTTGTGCCACGTGATCTTCAGAAACTTTTTTAAAAACTTTTTTAAAGCATTTTTTTACTACTGGTTCCAGAGAATAGGTAGTAAAAAAATGCTTTAAAAAAGTAAAAAAAAAAGGTTCTGACAATCACAGCTTTGCTGTGCGATCATCAAAACCTTTTTAAAAAACTTTTTAAAGCATTTTTTTACTACCGGTTTGCGCGAATAGGTAATGTGGTTTGAGCAAGGACTACATGAAACTATTGGGGACCTGTCAGTAGCCAGAAGAGAAGACAAGAATATGTATTTGGTTTTTTGAAAGGATCTCAGAAAAAAAATGGGTATTTTTGGCTTATATTTGCTTTGCAATCCTTTAAATGTAGTTTTAGGAAATATGTGTTGTACATCAAGCAATGTAATAGGCTTTGTGTCATACAAGATATAAGATAAATTCACTTTTCTATTGCCATCTAGATATACCTGACTCTGGATGTTCAGCTTTGGAAATTGAGAGAATGGCTGCAGAGTGATATGGTGTTGTGACCCAGGCCCAAGTAAGTAGTAGGAAAATCAGTCAGTGAAAAAACAAACTTTATTCGAACAGCTGAGAATTACTTCATTCCCAGCATCGTTCAACTAAATTAAAGCAAATTCCTCCCAACACAAATTCCTCAGTCCTATCGCAAACCTTGGTCCAATTAGGCAAACTGCCAAAGGCCTTTCTTGCAAACGTTCAGAAGTCACAGATACAAAAATAAATATAAGACATAAACAAGGAAGACGAAGCTACCAACGTTGTTTTCCGGCAAAGCCCAAACGCCATTGCTGATCTGTTTTAAGCCTTATGGGAGGGGCCAATCATCTCTTGGCCCTACTCCCAAGTTGTCCTCTTTGCTTGAGCTGCTCTTGCCTTCTGTCAGCTCTTCTCATGCGTGTATTAGGAACAGGCTCCTCCTGTTCCTCTGCTTCACTCCTATCAGTCTCTGGAGGCTCTGGAGTCCGCACCTCACTCCCCGATGGCCCTGGCCCCATCTCTGCCTCTGATGCAGAGCCCTCATCTGGGCCTTCCCCAGCCTCCAGGTCTGGCCCATGTTCTTCCTCAGCCTCACCGCTGTCCGACTCCGCTGCCAGCTCCGCAGGCTGCTGATGGACCACAACATATGGAGTGGCCCAGAGGTGGTATTCAGCCGGTTTGGACCGGTTTGGGTGAACCGGTAGCAGAGATCATGGGTGGGCCCACCTAACCGCCCTGGCTCTATGCCATTCTATTTAGGCATGTTTTTGAGTCTGGGTGCATGCGTGGAAGGCTGGGCGCATGTGCTGAAGGTGCGCGAGCGAAGCAAGCGTGCACACGCACGGCAAACCAGTGGTAACAAAATGTGGAACCCACCGTTGGAGTGGTCCTTCATTTGTCAGAAGTCATAAGGTGCTACCAAGTATATTTACGACACTGACACCTTTCCTAACACTCTGACTCTGGACTAGCTGTCATCTAACTGTGTTGGTGCCGTGGTTTGAATGCGGTATACCACAGGCTAACTCACTGCTCACTCCAGCAGTTCAATTCTGAGTGGCTCAGGGTTGACTCAGCCTTCCATCCTTTCAAGGTTGGTAAAATGAGGACCCAGATTGTTGGAAGCAATATGCTGAGTCTGTAAAACTGCTAGGAGAGGGCTTTAAAACCCCGTGAAGTGGTATATAAGTCCAAGTGCTATTGGTATTGCTATCTGTGGAATTTTTCAAGCCTTGGTAACTAAAGATAGTCCTCAATTTTTCACGGTCTCTTATCAGGAGTGAGCTTGTAAAGAGGAATTATATCTTAGACAATATTCACTGGCACCTCTACCTTCTACACCAATTACCGTAGGAGGACGACTTGAATATTGGATGTTTTGTTTGTTGTTATAATAACCAGCATCACTCTGGTTGCTAGCCACCTTTCTATGCTGCACCTTGGGCTTAACCTTGATCAACAAAGTTCTCAAATAACTAAATGCCCCGTGACCATTTCACAATGTCATATACCCTTTACATTTTTCACACTCAAATGACTGTTCTTAGATGATATGATGGACACCTTAGTTATGGTATTGCTTAAACTGGCTTCAAGCCCAGCGTGCGTCTGAGCGATCCGATGTGAAAAGAATTGCTCGGATTGTTCCTGATGGAGTTCAGATGGAAGGTGGATACTAGCCAGAGTGACAACTATGCTATGGACAACTGGCTGAGTTACCCAAAAGAGTTTCCTTCCACACTTTTTCTCAGATGTGCTCTTCATATGGTGATCTTTGAACTCACTTCACAGGATGGTAGAATGCAACAGGTGATGAAAAGCAGCTCCTGAAAGTCCCGGGATGAAATAACATATGGTTTTCTGGTTACCTTGTGACCTCAATTCAAACTGACAACAGCATTTAAAGCCTTACCTGTCTTAGGGACTTAACTAGTTCCAATCCACCACTCTCTTTTAAATCATCAAGGAGGGTAGCTTTTCTAAGATCTGTCAGAAACCCTTTGTCAATTCTGCCTTCTCTGCGGTGGAGTTTGGCTTGCAGAACAAATTGCCACTAGAACTAAAGCCGTCCCACTCCATCTTATAATTCAGAAGCAAATTCAAAATATGTAGCTTACCAAGGCTTTGATTTGACCATTTTAATTTCTGCAAAAGTTTATTACTTTTGCTTTGCTGTTCTGAGCTATTTTTAGTAGCACCTATGTTGTTTTAACTAAGGCAGTTTTAAGTCCACTAAAAAGTCCCAATGAATCATAAACCCTGATAGTCTACAGGCCAGGAGAAAATACTAACCTTTGAGCCAGGGGTGAAATCCAGCAGGTTCTGACAGGTTCTGGAGAACCAGTAGTGGAAATTTTGAGCAGTTCAGAGAACCGGTAGCGGAAATTTTGTGTAGAAATTTGGAGAACCGGCAAATACCACCTCTGGCTGGTGCCAGAGTGGGGTGGGAATGGGGATTTTGCAGTATCCTTGCCCTGGAGTGGGTGGGAATGGGGCCAAGTTATGTCGGCTGGTGACACCCAGGGGGACGGCCTTCTCTGTGGGAGCCCAGCCCTGTGGAATGAACTGCCCCCGGAAATATGTAAGATCTCCAACCTCGGGTGTTTCGCTGCGCACTGAAGACCCTGTTGTTCCGCCAGGCGGGCTATCAACATAATATTTTAAATTGGGGTATTTTAAATTTCTGGGATTTAATTTGAGCCTAATCTATTGAATGATTTTAAATTTTAATCGTTGTTTTGTTTTGTGTTTTTAAATAGGCTGTACACCGCCCTGAGTCATTATTATTATTATTATTATTATTATTATTATTATTATTATTATTATTATTATTTTGCAGTATCTTTCCCTGCCACGCCCACCAAGCCACGCCCACAGAACCGGTAGTAAAAAAAAATGGATTTCACCACTATCTTGAGCTGGCCAATATTAAACTAACGTTTGGAGTTTTGATGGAGAGGCAACAAGGGACTTAGAATCTAGCAGACCCTCAGACTTGCCCTGACGTATTTTTCTGACTTTGGAAAGAAGCAGAATTAGAGGCTGGTAGAGAAAAGGGGTGGGGAATTAGATTTCCCCCTCCGAGTGTGGGGAATTCCCTTGAATTTCAAACGCGTGTTTGACACCCCTGGTCTATACCAATATAAGGAGAGAGAACTGTCTTGCAATTTATCTTGAAAAAAAAAATCAAAACAGTATCTGATTTGGTTATATGTGAATAAAAGCCTACCAAGAAATTCCAGAGTTGTAAAACAGAATGGAAAGTTTAAAAAAAAAAATTCCAGGAGAAGTTAATGACAAGTAGCTCCTATATTGTGTTGTGAAAACTACATAGACATATCCACTTGGTCATCAGGAATGAACATGATCAGTGATATCTGCCCTCTTGCCAATAATTATTATATGTTTTCATGAAAATATTAGAAACTTACTCAAATAATGGAATAACCTGGTCAATTTGTCTGAAATGCTATAGGTTCTCCTCCTTGAGGAGGGGCTAGACTAGAAGACCTCCAAGGTTCCTACCAACTATTCTATTCTATTTATTCTATTCTATTCTATTCTATTCTATTCTATTCTATTCTATTCTATTCTATTCTATTCTATTCTATTCTATTCTATTCTAAATTCCCATATGTGGTACTAATAAAGGAGAATATTTGTAGCTCTGGATTGAAATGAGGAATCCTTGGTACAGACATTTCATTACATACTTGATAGTCACTTAATAGTGAAATGGGCAACACGTAAATTTATTAGTTCAATTTATTTATTATTTTATTAGTTCAATTTATATGCCACCTTTCTCCAGAGACTCAGGGTGGCTTACAATGCATTTAAAAAAAAAACATTATAAAAAACATTTAAAAATTAAAATATTAAAACCCATTCACACCATTCATGGCCGGATCTCACAAGATCGCAACAGTGAGATCAACGGCCCCAGGCCTGCCGGAAAAGCCAGGTCTTCACTGCTTTCCGGAAGGCCAATAGGGTGGGGATGGTCCGGATCTCAGGAGGTAACTGGTTCCAGAGAGCTGGGGCAGCCACAGAGAAGGCCCTCCCCTGCGGGCCTGCCAGCCGCCATTGTTTAGCTGACGGGACCCGGAGGAGACCAACTCTGTGGGATCTTACCGGTCGCTGGGAGCTATGTGGTAGAAGGCGGTCTCGAAGATAACCTGAGTTTGTTTGTTTGTTAATAAACAAACAAACAAACAAAGGAGTTTTAGACCTACAGGTAGTCTTCGACTTACGACCACAACATAGCTTAAAATTTCCATTGCTAAGCAAGACAATTGTTAAGTACATTTTACCTCATTTTATGACCTTTCGTGCCACATCTGCTAAGTGAATCACTGCAATTGTTAAGTTAGGAACATGGTTGTTACCTGAATCGGCTTCCCTATTGACTTTGCTTGTCAGAAGGCCTCAAAAGGGGATCGCATGACACCGCAGCCGTCATAAATATGAGTCAGCTGCCAAGCATTCGAATGTTGATCACGAAACCGCAGAGATGCTGTAACGATTGTAAGTGTGGAAAAGTCACTTTTTCAGTGCCACTGTAACTTTGAACAGTCGCTCAATGAATGGTTGTAAGTCAAGGACTACTTGTATGGCTTTGGTTTCCTTACAAAGTGGTGAAATTCTTACAGCGGTGGTGAAATTCAATTTTTTTTACTACTGGTTCTGTGGGCGTGGCTTGGTGGGCATGGTGTGGTGTGGTGTGGCTTGGTGGGTGTGGTTTGGTGTGCGTGGTGAGGAAAGGGTACTGCAAAATCTCCATTCCCACCCCACTCTGGGGCCAGCCAGAGGTGGCATTTGCCAGTTCTCCAAACTACTCAAAATTTCCATTACCAGTTCTCCAGCTACCTATCAGAACCTGCTGGATTTCACCCCTGCCTTAGAAGGCTGACAACACTTCAGTTTGTAAAGCATCATAAGGTCACCTTAAGGAATGTGAGATTGGTGTCTTATTTATTTATTTATTTATTTATTTATTTATTTATTTATTTATTTATTTCTTTATTTATTTATTTATTTAGAATTTATATACCGCACCTTCTCCTGAGGGACTCAGGGCAGTGTACAGCCAGATAAAAACATACAATACAAACATTAAAAACAATTAAAAAGTTATATATTAATTTGGCCCCAATTTAAAATAACAAACCAATTTAAAATATTTAAAAAATATATTAAGCCAGCCCGGCTTGCTGAAAAAAGAAA